GCTGAGATGAGGCGCTTATGCTACACAATTCTGCACTAGTCCAAAAAAAGCATGGACTGCACCATTTATCGGTTTTCAGGATTTGTGTTTTGTTTTACTAGAAAAACAAGTTTCCAGTCCTAGTGCAGGCTTAGAGGCAGTACGGTGTAATGATTAAAGTGTATGATGAGGTTAAGAGAGAGACAGGTTCAAATCCCCCCTCTTCCTCAGGAGCTTGCTGAGGGACCTTGGACCAGTCATTCTCTCTGTCTAACCCACCTCACAGGGTTGTTGTGATGATAAAAGGGAGCCAGGACAAATTATTTTGTAAGTTGCTTTGGGCCCCTCCATTGTGGGGGGGAAATGGGGTACAAATATCTAAATTAAATTATAGTTAGGAAGATATATTTGGTAAACTGCCAATATGATCTCCAGTAGGTCAAGAGGCCAGGTGATAATATCCCAAATACCTCTCCTCCAGTACTCCTTCTAAGCTGTGGAGTCTTGTGAGCAGGGGTCATTTCGTAGGAAAAGAGGTGCAGGAGCTCATTAACATAACTCATTAGCATAACTTATTTGCATATGCCACACCCCCTGACATCACCGGAAGTGCGTCAGAAGGCAACACCCACCGCTCAGGCTCCACTGGACTGTTTTGGATTGCTAGCTATTGGGGGGGGGAACGTGCAGATCTGCCCTCACAGAGGAGGGAGAGCTTGTACCTGAATAAAACTTGGTCTTAAAGGTGCCACTGGACTGTTTTGGGCCGGGGGGGGGAGCTCTGCAACTTACCTGGCTGTTTCTTGCTCTGACTGAGGGCTGCTGGGAGCAGGGGGCGGGGCTTGTTGCATGTGCCCGCCCCCTGGGCTCTTTACTGCCAGAGCTCCGCTCCTGTGCGCTCCTGCAGGAAATGACCCCTGCTTGTGAGCAACAATTCCACTTTGTGAGCTACTAGCATTCAAGTTGTGAGCGGGCCATTTGGCTACTGCATAAATTAGTCTGCTGAATGTTCCCTCTAAGCTGAGTTAGTGTGAGCTAGCTCACAGTTTTTTAGCCTCCGGCTCACATTTTGTCTCAGCTCAGGAAGGAGGGCTCCAGAGCAAACTAATTTACGCAGTAGCCAAATCACTTGCTCACAGCTCACAAAGTAGAATTTTTGCTCACAAGACTCCACAGCTTAGAGGGAACATTGGTCTGCTCTGAAGCCATCCTTCCTGAGCTAAGACAAAAATGTGTGAGCCAGAGGCTAAAAAACTGTGCGTTAGCTCACACTAACTCAGCTTAGAGGGAACAGCTGCCTCCCACTGTTCCCCACCACCACCACCACCAAGAATATCTCTCCTACCAGTGCTCCCTCTAAGCTGTGGAGTCTTGTGAGCAGAAATTCTACTTTGTGAGCTCCTGGCATTGAAGTTGTGAGCGAGCGACTTGGCTGCTGCATAAATTAGTTTGCTCCAGAGCCATCCTTCCTGAGACAAAAATGTGTGAGCCGGAGGCTAAAAAACTGTGAGCTAGCTGACACCAACTCAGCTTAGAGGGAACACTGTCTCCTACATAGACTGATTTCGCGCAACCGCCTTGGGGACAGCTCTCCTCAGAATCCTACTGAAGTGAATTCAGTGGGCTTTACTCCCAGGAAACTGGGTTCTTCCCAGCCCCGTAGATAGGGAATTCTTTGGGAGGGGGCCTCAGGGGGGCCTGCCAGCTAATTAAATGAAAGTACAGTGCAGGTGGTAGGTTTGGGGGCAGCCCAGGAGGGAGGGGGCCCAGAAGAAACACTAGGGGGCCGGGCCCCATGGGCCCCATGTTAGTTACAGGCCAGCTTCTCTCTCTCCGGGGATTGCGTGGTGAGTCTCCCTCCCGCCGCCTCTCCCTCCCCAGTCGTCCTCCCAGCCCTTCCCTCCGTATCCTCCCGCGGGCGACTCTTCCCCGGCCTTCGGCCCCCTTGGGGCCATGTGACTGGCGAGAGCCAGGCCAAATTTGGGAAGAGAGGAAGCGAGAGAGGAATGTCAGCGAAGGGTCGCCCCCTCCTTTTTTAACCCTGCCTGGGCTAGGCTGGGAAGACAAGAGCGAAAGTGGGGCCAAGGGAGGGTGGCTGGTGCCGGCCCTCGGTTTCTCTGGCCAAGGGGGGAAGCGACGTTTCCCTTGACGACCTCCAGCCCGTGCGTGGCCCAGAAACTCAGGCGTGCTAAATCGGCTAAATTTAAATTGTTATTGTATAATTAAGTGTTATGTATGCTATAAACTTTACATTAGTATGTATATTCAGGCATAGTCCTATGTTGTATAAGCGCATTATCTGATGACTTTTTTGTTATATTTTATCACTGGTTTGTTACAAGAAAATGGTTAATAAAAATGTATTTGAAAAAAAGAAAAAGAAAAAGAAAAGAAACCCAGGCGTGCTTCAAAACCGCGGAGTTGGAGGTCTTCCTTCCAGAAGCCGCTGCCTCGGCCCCTTCGGAGACTTGGAGAGGTCAGCCTTCAACTATGCAGTTTGGTCGGGACGCCACTAAATGCATTTTCACCAATGAGATCACACCTCTGGGCTTCCTCTTCACGAAGAGCCGGACAGGCAAAACGGTGGGTTATAGATCGAATCCAGCCTGAACTCTTTACTACAACCTAAAGTGACGAAACTGAGGCTGTCCTACTTTGGTTGCATTGTGAGAAGGGGAGAGTCTGTGGAAAGGACAGCAGCAATACTCGGGAAAGTGGAAGCAGTCAGGAAAAGAGGAAGACCCAACATGAGAGGGATGGACCCTGTTAGGGAAGCCAGGGACCTCCGTTTGCAAGACCTGAGCAAGGCTCTGAATTAGAGGCTGTTTTGGAGATCATTCATTCATAGGGTCACCATAAGTCAGAAGAAACTTGATGGTACTTAACACATACACAGGCACAGTCTAGGAACATAAGAATGTAAGAAGAGCCCTGTTGGATCAGGCCAGTGATCAATCTAGTCCAGCATCCTGTCTCACACAGTGGCCCCAACCAGTTCCCCAGAGGGCCCACAACAGGGCAGAGAGGCTGAGGCCTTCCCCTCATAAGAACATAAGAAGAGCCCTGCTGGATCAGGCCAGTGGCCCCTCTAGTCCAGCATCCTGCTTCACACAGTGGCCTCAACCAGTTCTTCTCAAGGGCCAGCAACAGGGCAGAGAGGCCGAGGTCTTCCCGTGATAAGAACATCAGAAGAGCCCTGCTGGATCAGACCAGTGAGGGTCCATCTAGCCCAGCATCCTGTCTCACACTCACACAGTGGTCAGGCAGTTTCACTGGAGGGCCAGCAACAGGGCATAGAGGATGAGGCCTTCCCCTCATAAGAATGTAAGAAGAGCCCTGCTGGGTCAGACCACTGAGGGTCCATCTAGTCCAGCATCCTGTCTCACACAGTGGCCTCAACCAGTTCCTCTGGAGGACCAACAACAGGGCATAGAGGCCAAGACCTTCCGTTGTCTCCTTGCTCTAGGATTTGGAGGCCTCTTAACATGGAGATTCCCCTAGTCACCATGGCTGGTAGCCACTGGTAGACGTATCCTCTATGAATCTAGCCAGTTTGGTGTAGTGGTTAGGAGCACAGACTCCAATCTGGGAGAACCGGATTTGATTCCCCACTGCTCCACATGCAGCCAGCTGGGTGACCTTGGGTCAGTCACAGTTGTCTCACAGCTGTTCTCTCAAGAGCAGTTCTCAGTCAGAGCTGTCTCAGCCCCACCTACCTTACAGGTGTCTGTTGTGGGGAGAGGCAGGGGAGGAGATTGTAAGCAGTTCTGAGACTCCCAAGTGAAGGGCAGGGTATAAATCCAATCTCTTCTTCTGTTCTCCTAATCCCCTTTTAAAGCTGTTTATTGCTGTGGCCATCACAACAGCCTCTGGCAGCAAATTCCAAACTTTAACCACTGTGTAAAGAGGTAGTTGGTGCTGCGGTGGCTCAAGTGGTTAAGACGCTGAACTGCAGGCTGTGGAAGGTCAGTAGTTCAGCAGTTCGAGACCCGAGTTGCCGCATGACGGAGTGAGCTCCCGTCTCTAGTTCCAGCTCCTGCCAATCTAGCCGTTTGAAAGCAAGAAATTGCAAGTAGATAAACAGGTACCACTTCAGTGGGAAGGTAACAGCGTTCTGTGCGCCTTGGTGTTTAGTCATGCCGGCCACATGACCACGGAAACGTCTTCGGACAGCGCTGGCTGTTTGGCTTGGAAACGGAGATGAGCACTGCAGCCCTAGAGTCGGATTCGACTGGCTTTTGAGCAAGGAAACCTTTACCTTTACCTTAAACAGGTGGTCTAGCCAAACACGAAGCCAAGGATCTCAGGGTAGAACTCATGGCCCTGAACAGCCCCCTGCATCACCAATTTTGAAAATTACATCTGCCTTTGCTAATGATGGAAAATGGTGGAGAGCAGTGTTCCCCTTAAAATGAGTTAGTGTGAGCTAGCTCACAGTTTTTTTAGATGACGAAGAGAGCTGTGTGTCTCAAAAGCTTACACTACACGAAAGTTTGTTAGCCTTAAAGGCACTACTGGGCTTTTTGTTAGCCTTAAAGGCGCTACTGAGCTTTTTACAAATTCCAGTGTAATATCAGATGCGTCTGATGAAGAGAGCTGTGTTTCTCGAAAGCTTACACTACAAGAAAGTTTGTTAGCCTTAAAACTCCTACTGGCCTTTTTACTATCTTGCAGCAACAGACTAACAGGGCTAACTCCAATTCCGAGACCCCCACTCCCACTCCCACCCCACCAGCCCAGCGCGGGAGACCAAGGTGTGGGACTCCACGGCGCTTGCCTCCGAGTAGACGCCCTTCTTGGCGGCGGTGCGAGGCGCGGAAAGGGCCCCCTGCGCCTTTAAGGCCCCTCCCTGGGATTTCCCCCGTCCCCTCCGCGCGGCGCCCGCTCCCCGCCCTCGTTAGCGCTGACATCAGCCTTCAAAAGGCCAGCCCTGGGCGTGGAGCGCGACGCAGCCCGAGCGCCCCGCCGTTGCTAGTGGAAGCTCCCGCGTCGTCCCTCCCGGCGAAGGTAAGAAGCGGCGGGGTGGGTCGGAAGGGAGAGGTCCCGGGGCTCAAGGCTGCCCCCCAGCCCCCCTCCCGCATTGGAGTCCCGGGAGTCGCCTTGTGCCGGCTGCGCTTTTGGGGAGGCGACGCGCTTTCCACGTGTTCTGGGAACTTTTGCGAAAGTTTCGGCGGAGCGGGTTGGCGGTGGGGAGCGTGAGTTGGTTACGCACTTCTATATATTTTTTGAGGTGGGGGCTTCTGTGGGTGCACGGAGGGGTGCGTTAGCCCCACGTGGGAATCGGGTGTGTGTGAAGCCGTTCGGTCTTCCCACGTTTTTCTCCACCCCCCCCCCCCCCCCCCCCCTCCTTGTTTGTCCCCCCCCCCCTCTCG